TATCCATCAGAAAGATCGCTGTGCTAATAGTGCAGACGATGGATTTGAGGCCAGATAGACTAGGATAGGAAGAGGCAGGAAGGTCTGTAGGAAAGGGGCTGCAATATTCGGGCAGGAGATAATGAGATACTGTGGCAGGAAGAACTCTGAGATGGCCCCAAGATTTCTGTCCCGTGGTGCCCATGTCCAGTGTAACCCCCTCTTAGAGTATGAGTGGAACCTGTGAATAGGGCAGACTTCACATTTGTGATATGGCAAAGTTGAAGGGATTTTACAGATGTAATTGAAGCCCCTGATTAGCTGATTTTGAGTTAACCAAAAGGGAAATTGTCCAGGATGAACCTAACCAATTTGAGTAAGCCCATAACAGAGTATCTAGAGGTCAGAGATTGGAAGCAGCAGGGAGATTCTCCTGTTGGCCTTGAAGAAACAAGGTACTATGTTATGAGAGGGCCTGGGAGGGTCCATGTGGCAAGGGCCCTTGGGAGTCTCTAAAAGCAAGGAGCCAACAAGCCATGCCTGGACTCCTGACCCAAATAAACTGTGACATTACAAATGTGTGTTGCCTTAAGACTGTAAATTTGTGGTCATTAGTTATGCAGCAATAGAAAACAGATACAGATATAAATAACAAGATACAATTAAGTATATTCAGGAGAGAAAATTGACAGGAAGTAGAGTTTGAGTTGATGCAGGTAAAATGGATGACTTATAAACTCATTGAGCTTGCTATATCTGTAGAACATTCAGGTGGCCACGTATGTCTAGAATGTAATTGGATGTAAGGGTCTAATGCCATAGGGAAGCCAAGGTTCAATCCAGGATAAACAGGCAAAACTCTGGTGTCCAAATGTAAGAGGTCAAACAGAAGTGGGAGCCAAGGTCTAGAGCCAAAGCAGGCAGAGTAGCCACAACGGCCAATGAGTGTGGAGAATGGGAGCAGGCAGGTGGCTGGGCAAGGCCTGGGGAAGTGCCTGAAGGTCTCCAGGAAGCCAGGTGCTTGTGTGACTTCTCCAGAAGGTTTTATTCTGTGTTGTTGTTCTTCATAGAAGCAAATAAAATCAGGGAGGCTAGAATGTGATCACCAGAGAAAATATAAGAAGGGAAAGAAGAAGGCCAAGGATGAAGCTCGAGGGCACATCCATGTTTAGATGACATGAAAGGGAAGAGGAATTTGCCTTGAGCCTGAGAAGAAGCACCCCAAGAGGTAGGAGGAGAACAAGGAAAGGTGAGTGTCACTGTAAAATCCAAGAAAGGGAAGTTTCCAGGGGACACACTCAAAAGCCTTAATGCCATTATACGAGAGGAGGGCCGGAAATGCCCATTAGATTGCAAAGTGGGAGGAATTCAATGTTAGCGAAGTTTAAAGTTGAGTCCCATTGGCCACATTATAGCATATGCTTTACTTTCCTCATCTGTAAAACAAAAGTAAGAAATAAGGCCAAAATACCTGCCTTATTTTCCTCACAGTTGTAGGAATTCTGCCCTTCCTTCTTCCCCTTTGTAAAGGCTCAAATGTACCTTCATGGGTCTAAGGAGACTAGATCTCGACCTCAGTTATGTCACCAGACCTGCCCTGAACTGCTTCATCAGGTTCCCCAGGACTTCAAGCTAATTCCTTTCCCGAGAAGCATACAGATAAAATTGCTGGCCAACCATCTCTTAATTGCCAAGAAGTACAAGAAATGAGAATGCAAAAGGAGGGAATCTCACATATCTTTAAAGGAACATTGGTAGTTTATGCAGGACTGGCTTTATTGGAAAACAGCCGAGAACCAAGAAACAGAAGAGACCTGTGAGCAGCCAACATCTATCTACGCCACAGAGCCCGCCCTCATTAATGAACCTTACTAAAAAGGGTTTCCTAGGGTCTTTACTCTGAGCCTAGCTTTCCTCCTTAGAAATTCTAACAGGCTTGGTGATGCGGTGCCCAATAAAAGCAACAAATTAAAAGAAGAGGACTAAAGGGGCACATCAGTAACAGTAATGAGTGACAGCTAATGGCTTAACAGCAAGGGTGGAAATGGGAAAAAATAACTACAGAAGGCGAACAAAAGAAGTAAAAATCACAGGAGCTTAGGATCATTTAGTGCAGAATAAAAACATTCTACATAGTGCAACAGACCCCTGAGGGCACTAGAGCTCAGCATGATGGCCTAAGTCATCATTTTGAAAAATTTAAACTACATTTGATATAGTCTAAAAAGGCAGAGACATTCATAATACACAATAAGAGGAGACTTAGGGCTGATCAATTTATTCCTTTAAAGCATTTCTTAAGGAGCAGCTATGTGCCGGGCAGTGTGCCAGGCAGGAAGACATAAGGGAGCAAGAAGATGGCCTCTGTTAGGAGTAACCCTCAGTTATCTGGGAAACTCAGCTATTCAGAGAGATGGACTCCCTTCAAGGTTCCCTTTGGACAGCTCTTAGAGAGAACGTTTGTTAAAATTTCAAGGTTCTTGGAAAATCTAAGTGATCCATGCTTCCCTCACTGGCAAAATCAGGTCAGTTCTATCTAGAGTGGACTGACCACTTCTGTTGAAAAACAAGAAGATAATTTGAATATGATCCTCCCTATATAATGGCTATCTACTCTTTGGTTGGACATTTAAGAAAGAAAAAAAACACCTTCAGGAACAGCAATTATTTTTTTAACAATAGCCAGACAGGAGTGCTTTTATGTACTGAGAGTGTATGATATTTGTCTCAAGTCATTAATGTAAACCACAAAATGTTAAGTTAAAATTTTTATTCTCCAGACAATTTTCACTAAGAGGTAGCTTAGATCTAGGGGAACAACCTGGCTCTTTCTGATCAATATACCATCTTTTTGGAATCCTACAAAATAAATTCTAAGCCAATGGTTCCAAATTGCAGGTGAGACCAACTATGTCAGAATCCCAGAGCTCGAGCCCTGCCACACATCTACCAGACTAGAATCTCTTGGGATGGGTCTCTGGCATCCATCCCTCCAGGCGATGCTGATAAGCAGCCAAAAATCCCTTACAGCTCTAAAATTCCACTGTTTTCAATGTATCTAGTGTCAAATCAGTAAAAGACAATTTCCCCATAAACACTATAACCCAAATACAATGAAAAGAAAACTCCAAGGCCAGGTGTGGTGGCTCAAGCCTGTAATCCTAGCACTTTGGGGGCGCTAAGGTGGATGGATCACTTGAGGTCAGGAGTTCGAGAACAGCCCGGCCAACATAGTAAAACCCTGTCTCTACTAAAAATACAAAAAAATTAGCTGGGCCTGGTGATGGGCACCTGTAATCTCAGCTACTCAGGAGGCAGAGGCAGGAAAATTTCTTGAACCTGGGAGGCAGAAGTTGCAGTGAGCCAAGATTGTACCATTACACTCCAGCCTGGGCAATAAGAGCAAAACTCTGCCTCCAAAAAAGAAAACTACAAATTTTCCACATTAAAATTTCATCTTGTAACTAAAGATGAAGAGTTAATATTAACAAGAAAAACTGAATTTATGGTATTTTCTGTAATTTTGAGGTCTATAGACTAGAAAAGTGAGGGACTAAGCTAAAAATATTTCAAACACAATTATATTTTAGCTGTATCATCTTTATGTCATCATGAATGAACCCTCAGAGTATTAATCATAAGGTCACAGGGAACCTAAAATTTTTTTGTAAAAATAAGATATCAAATTAAGCTTGTCAGACTTTAGAAATAATGCCAAATCGCTCCTTCTTTTCTTTCTCTTTCTTATTTATGAGCTATTAAAGTTTCCTGCTTTTGCAAACCCAGATATGATGCAAGAATGAAAGAAGAAAGATGCAGCAGCCAGAAATAGTCTCATTAAATAGGATTTAGGGACCCTGTGGAATGTAATGGGTTAGAGAGAGTGACATTATATGTAATTAAGATGTCTAGTGTTTATTTCAGCCTCCAGAGGACGGATGCAAAATATCTACCTATTAATAACAATAGTTAAATGATAATAATCCAACTTCTTGGGTTTCAGTTTTATTTTTTGTTTTGGTATTTTTGTTGTTGTTGTTCATACTTACTGTCTATTTGGAATATATACTAGAAAACTCTGAGACATGAAGGGAAGATTACCGAATTTAGGATCAAATGTTAATTTCCAAGCTGGAAGGCAAGATAATACTATACTTGCTTTCTGCCTCTCTCAAGGAAGAAATCTTCCTTATCCTCCTTTTTCACCAAGAACAAAATGAGGGACCTAGAGAATGTGGTGACTACATACCAGTGACAACCCAGTCTTTGGCAGCTGGAGAATCTAGCATGTCTTTTCTTGCCTGGTACAAATTCTGTGTAATATTTCCCTGGGCATTTGGTGTAAAGAACAAATTGGTGAGCTAACAACCACCCTCTATACACAGAGCACTGTGTCAGGAGCTGCAGGAGATGGATATTTTAATACAGTAAGAGCATGGCTTCTATCTTCAAGGAAATTAAAATCTAGCTGGGGGAGAAAACCCACAAACATCAATTAGGGAATTGTATGCCATAATTCATGATTAAGTAATAAATTAATGTCATAGTTCCTCAGAAAAGGGAAATTAAAATGAGAAAGACTTCATGGAATTCATGCACTTGGGTTTGAAGGACAGTACTAGAACTAGTCTCGAGTGCACACACAAGGGGAAGGACTGGCATTTGTGCATGGAGTTACATGTGACCTTTTTGGCTTTCTTTTCACATCCTTTTATTTTTCTTTATTAATTAAAAAGAAGTATCTATGCCCATGGCCATGACTTAGAAATATATATAAAATAATGTCGCTGATTTAACAAATTTGGCATTCTTTTTCTCTAGACAATTTTCAATTCTTCCTAGGTTTCGGGAAGCAGCAAATTAGAAATAGTAAGTGGGAGAAAAGTGGGAAGGCTGCTGTAATTAAACAAGCTGGTAACAGAGAGCAGTAACTACTAATAATGATGGATGAAACAGAACAACGGAGGCTCAGCAATCTGGGCCCACTTAATGTTGGGAAAACACAACCATACTCTTACCACCTACTTTCAACAGCCCCCAGATGTATCATCGCTTCCTGGAATGTACTTTCTCTATTGATTCCAATCTCCTTTTTTTTTAATAAAGAAAAATAAAGAGGAGAAAAGAAGAGATATAAAGGTTAGCTTATTTATTCATTAATTTGTTTATTCAAGAATTTTTTGCTGAGCACTTGAGTATTAAGGACACAGCTGTGAACAACAAAGTTCCTACAATTTTGTTTTTTTTTTTATTCCAATGCAAAGAAAATTCTCCATCTTATAATTTTTTAAAAGAAAGAGGTAAGCAAGGCTTTGGGAGATGGCTTAGCTCAAATTCCCTATGAGTTAGTGAAAGCCAACCTGGATCTCTTTAAGAAAAAAAAAAAAAATCTATCCCACAGGGAAATTTTACCTTTTTAAGATGGAGTCTGCATAATAGCCTTTGTCTGCTGGTTTCCTTTCAAGAACATCCTTCCTCATCTTTCCAGTTAGCAATCTAATTCTCTTCTGCATTATGGAGCTGGTCTTTCTTGACTCTTTCTCCATCTCTCTTACCGTGACTAGAGAGAGGTTCTCTTTTCCCCAATTCCCCCATTTTGTGTGTTTTCCCCAAACTCCAAAAGGTCATAGACCTGGGCAATTGTGAAACCCAAAAATAAGTTATGTGATTCCTTTCTCCAGATCCTAGATCTGATGAGCTAAGAACTAAGGTCCTCAATTGCCTCTTTGGGCCAGCCCCCACCCTAAACGGGAACCATGGGGACTCCTAGCCTGGGTGTATTTCAGGAGCTGAAAGCTTGTATTCTGGTTTGTGAGTTTGTTTTTTAAAAGGGAAACCTAAGACTCTTTTCTTTTTTCAACTATTATAGTTTTACTTTGAGACCACAGCTCCTGTTTTATTTTCAGTTGTCTTTTTCCATAACTCCTTTTAGAAATAAAAATGGGAAACGTTATCTAGCCCCTAGGAAGAAATATGTACATACATTCAAAAAGCAGTTTCATGCAACCTTAATAACCTGAATTCTATTTCCCTTTCTGTACATGATGGATGAAATTACTTTGATTATGCTGGCTTTCCAATTACTCATTCATGCCAAGAAAGCTAGCCCTTGAAACCTAGTCACCTTGTTTATTTCTTTCCCACCTTGCCCTTCACAATCAGAAAATCAAAGAGCACTGGAGCCAGGAGTTTCCGTGATCCCCAAAGGAAGGATTAAACTTAAAAGTCATACATATTGATTGACCTGAGTTTTCTCAAATTAAACCTGAGTAACTATTTCAATACCAATTTTTAAGCTGTAAAAGCTGATTTTGAGGTACAGAGGTTTGAGTGATGTGAAAGGCCTAGTAAATATATAACCTGGTTGCCAAAGGTTTTCTACTTAATATATTAGGAAAAGATGTATTCCCATGTGTCCATTTTATTACTTAATCCAAATCAGTGGTTTTCAAACCATGCTCCTTGGAATATGAGGATCTAACCTCCACAGAAGCTGAAGAGGGACTAATTTTGGAAGCTCCACACCCTCTGCCCCTGCTTTGACCAGAGATTTCTACTTTTTCTCTCCCTTATAGGTTGGGTTCTTAAGTATAATTTCATACAAATAAAGTCACCTATTACTACCAAAAAGGAAAATATGTTTGCTAAGAACATAAATTTATAGAAATATAATATACACAAATAAAATATGAAAAGTCAAACCATAATTTTTTTCAGAAACACATGGACTAGAACTAAAAGTTGATTCTGGAATCAGCATTGGGCTGGCCTTCTGGTATAAAATTCTTATGACTGACTCTTCACCATCAAATACGAGGGCACACCAGTAACTGCCCCAAGAGCCAACCCAAAAGCCATAAACACAACTGACTACTTAGATGCAGCTCTGCTAATCTACTTATATAGCTTATAGCCACTCGCTCCTTATTTATTCAACAAACACTTAATGAAGGGCTTAAAAATGAACAGCTGATGCCTGGAAGTAACTAATTTTTAGTAGTAGTAGAGAAACAGACAAGCAAGTAATTAAATTACAGTATTTAAAAAAGGATGACCATTATTTTAATGGGGTATATATATGGACTAGAACTAACAACAGTTGGTTCTGGAATCAGGATTGGGCTGGCCTTCTGGTGTAAAATTCTTATGAATGACTCTTCACCACCAAACATGAGGTTTTTATTCAAGGGGTATACAATGGGGTATATACAAGGTACAATGGGAGCCCAGAAGAGCCATTTCCTAGAAGGGTCAGGGAAACCCTCACAGAATAAGCCTCAGCAGCATCCCTGCTCAAAACACACAGGTGAACCATGCTAGGGAAGGAAGCCTGGCAGAACAGACTAGTATGTACCAGCTTAGGAGGGTCATGCTGCAAAAAAAAAGACTTCAGAGTCTATCTCGCAAGATACGGGTAGCCAATAAGCTATTCACCTAGCATGATTGAACAAAGAATAATTCCTCATTTCTCCAGCAATTATTTTTCCCTTTAGCCTATCCATGTATTCAATAAATACCAACTCTGTGCTAATCACTTCTCCAGCCATAAGGTAACCTTGAAGTTGTCTAAATCCTCTGAGGCTCCAGATCTGCAGCCCCCAACTAGCCTTTCAGGGGGAGCCACTCCTTGAATATTGGCCCCAACTGCCCAATTATTCCCTGAGAAAACAGTCTTACCCATGATTGTAGTTGGCATCTGGTATTGGTATTCTGCACCAAGAATCAGCAATGGAATTTTTTTTTTACTGCAGAGATAGATAACACAAGTAAGAAAAAGTTAAAAGGGAGGCTCTTGAGAACATTTAAAATAGCTGCTCAGCACTGAAATTCAGCTTAAGGGATGGCAAATGCAAATGTGAGCTCAGACAGGCCCAGCTCAGTTTTGCAAATCCTTTGGTAATGAAAATAGATCCACACTTTAATTTTTCAAACCATAAACCTCCCTGAAGCAAGTAAGAAAAGAGAAGAAACAGAAGGGAAATGTTCTACAAAAAAAGTGGATTTTGCATTTGATGTTTTGATGGAACTCAGTCAGGACAGGGTTCACAAAAGCTGTGAAGTAGACTCTGTCATGGCTGGTTTACCAGGCTCCAGTTCTCCACCGTCTGTTCTGGTTGGGAGTGTCGCCTTCCAAAATGCTTAGCTGTCCAGGGTTCTCTCATCTCCCACCCACCCCCCGGCTATCATATCAAACCCTACTACCTGGAAAGGAGACACTACTTTTATGCATGCTAAGGTAGAAATGAGGAATGACAGCCTTAAAATGTCATTTCTTCTATAGGGCATTTGCATTTTAATAGAGTACAAAACCTCCAGCTGTAGGAAGACTCCTATAAATGGGATCATATGAAAACAGTTTGCAATCTTTTTTGCCATTTGCCCAGAGACTCAAAAGCTACCTGGCAGAAAGCAACTGCTTGATTATCTAACAAGGAAGGAATTAAGATGTACAAACCATTGAGTTCATAACTAGAGTACTTTTGTGGCATAAAAACAAAATGAGAGGCAGTACACATGGCTTCTCCTGTGCTGGGCTCCTGCAGGTTCCCCCAGTCCCCTCTCAGGTGGCTTTACCACGAGTATGAATGTGGAGGCTCATCCTGAGGGGTGGGTTTCCAACAAGTTCTGATGACACAGCATCTCAGCAACTCCTCTGTCATCCACTGAGCCACAGCCTGGTCTTTCCTAACAAAGTCTGGATCTCAGTCCTGGGGCTGAGGACAGGTGGGAGGTGTCTTCCGTGGGCACTCTATGTCAGCCCCACGGGACAGGTAATAACTACTTCCTGTATCTGCTATTCCTGTATTCTTAAATTCTCTTTTCATCTTATTAGCTAATTGCTCACCATTCTGATCTCTTATAACATTAATAATTCTTTATATTAAACTTTCCCTGATCAAATTAAGTAAAATAAAACAAAATGAAGTGCTTTTTCTCTTGCCTTGACCTTGGTAAGTTACCAAATTTTATTCCGTCCCTTGTTCCCCTGTGAGTGCCTCCCCACGTCCCTGCTCCACCAGCATAAGACTGTACCATTTCCATCAAAAGATTACAACAGCCCAGAATATCTACTTTTAAGGCTCTTGTACAACTTTCTGATGTATAAAGTCACCAAAAGGCATGGCCTCTAGACAAGATTTCTAAGTGTGTTGCTTTCCTCATGGCTTATACACTGAAACATGTTCAAATATCCTAAATTTCTATGGGGTTGGGGATGCAGTCTTACTTACTGGATCACTCTGTGGCCTTTCTTATACTGTGGAAAATCCAGGAAAATAGCCCCTGGGGAAAGAAAGCACAAGAAAACAAAAAGCCCAACTTTATCTACTTAATAATTTGCTGAAGAAAGCAGGAAGTGAGGAAGATAGAAAAACAAAGTATCCCAGAAAGTTGTGATGATTTAGAAAATGATAATCCTGGAGAAGCTTCTGGAAAAAAAGAGTCAAGGAAATCTTAATAAGTAGTATAAGTTATAAACTGAGTCTTTGTTTAATCCCTCAAGAGATACAAGTAAAGATTGAAATTACCTTTTCCTGTGCCTGCCAGACTATTTCTTAAAATATGATGCAAGTCACTCCAGTTCCTATCATATTCAACAGTCTAGTCAAGGTTATCATACTTCAATACACCAATGCTTCCAAGTAACCATACAAAAGTACCCTAAAATTATAATTCTGAATCTGAGAGATGAGATCTCCTCATGGTTGATCATATTTAACCCTCATACACTGAGCCCCAATACCCATAATCCTGCTGAAGGATGCACCTGCTTTTTCAACTAAGGTATCTGTGCACATCAGTCATTGGACTCTCCAATCGTATATGTCAGCCTGTAAGTCCTCTCGAGTTTTGATAGCATTCCTTCAATATGCCAAATTCTTTCTCGACCAATCACTAAAGAATATGACTGTATAATAAAGATCATCTGTATGCAAACACTAATGAACCATCCCCGTAGGTCAGACCTGGCTTTTGATTCAGGGTTTTTTCAAACTAGTTCCATAAACATGTAGTGAACCAGTATAAACCCAACTCTACCAAAAGTGATTATGGAACTTACATTGTTCCTACAGGCAGATAGGAAGTGAACCACATGCCCTCTGATGCCCTTTGCTTTCTATCCTTCCATAATTACTTCCTGGCCTGGTGCCCAAGCAGGCATTCTTCCACCCACAACCTCCAATAAAGTGACAGAACCTGCCCCTCTCCTGCTTTATTTCCCCCAGCTCCTAATATCCATGCAGTCTCAACTTCAACCCAATATTAGAATTGTTTCAACCTGGTTCTCACAATCTTGGGTTCTCTAGTCCGTATAAGATCTTTCTGTATCATCTACAACCTATTGTTTTATTTGAACAACTTTGTTATATCATATTTGGACTAACTGGCCTTCAGATTATATTATCCCCACCTCCAGCAGTCTTCCTGCCAAGTAGTAGTAATTTGTCTTGTTTCCTTATTAATCCTCTCTGTCTTCCCCACCTCTAGCATGGAGCTAAGCCATGATTGTCAATTCCCTCGTTTGTATATCATTTTCAACCAAAAGCTCTCCTGTGATTCCATCATTATGGCCCGTTAGCCAAAACAAATACATGGTTCTTCCTGAGGCTCTTGCTAATCAAGCTGCTTCTGCCTTCCTTTGCATCAGAGGAAATCATGGTAGCTGGTAACAATGGAATTTGGGGAAAGCTTAAAGAAGAAATCAATACACTTTATGCCCCTAACTCAAAGATCCATGGGGGCAACCCCTGATGATTGGCTGATGCCACACCTATACCCACTTCCTTACTCCTTTGATCCCTTCCTTCCACTATAAAACATGAAATGGCTAAGTATGCACTGTCCCAGTCTCCCTTACAGGTAGGGATGACCATGTGATACCCACTGTGATGTCGCAGAAGTCTGCTGAGGAGAGACAGTCCTGGAAAACGTTTTGCTTTCCTTATAAAGGAGAGAAATAAAGCTGGCCTTGCCCCATCCCCCATCTTTCTGCTTTCAAAGCTGGAACAGCCATTTCGTGACTCTGAGGCAATAAGCACAAGGGAAAGCTCGTCTTCACGCATGCCGCTGCCTGCCTCCCTGACCCCTTATCACGTGAGGAAAGGAGTTATGTGCAGGCAAAGCATTCCTGCCTAATAGACCAGGGCTATCAAATGCCGCTCCAGAGCAGCCTTTAGAAGTGTCCTCAACCCTTTCCGGTCTTGAGAAAGAGCCTTTAGTTAATACTCTTTATTTTTCTGAAGACTAAATCATCCTTTTTTCCATTTCAGCATATCACAAAGAAAGAAACTTTTAGACTTTGTGAACTTACAAATTGAGTTATATCTATCACTAACCTTACATTATAATTACTGTAATTATATTAATCTTAATAAATGCATTAAAATTATTAACACTATTTTACTATGTCATACATATATTTTTCTCAAATTCATATTTATATATTACTTATATTTTATTGATAATACATCACTATATTATCATATTATATAACATATAAATCATCTGGTTATTGTTTTTCTTCCTCAGTAGAATGCACAGCATGCCTAGAACAGTGCCTGGTACCAAATAGCCATTCAGGAAATATTTGTTGAATAAATAAATGAATGTTACCCACCCCCCACCACAAAATGATGCTTATTTAAGATTAGCCTATTTCAGACAAAAAAATATTTCAATGAATGTGTTATTAAGAGGTCAGTTTAGATGAGGAATTCATCTTGACATCCTACAGAGGCAGCCTTTTAAATGCTGGTAATTGGTTTTAAAAATAAATTACATTATCCTGTTATTTCAATTGCCCCATAGGCGATCAGACTTCTGTTTTTAAAATGGGATTCTGGGAAAATAAGCTACTTTAGTAGACTCCTGTCTTGGCCATTGTCTTACTTAAACACCATCTCTGGGGCACAGTGTCAAGAAACAAGGAGCTCTCTTCAGCCTGAGGGATCAGGAGCAAGATGCTGACCCACATTTTTTGTCAGTTAGTTTCCAAATCCCATTCAGAGTTCCTTTTATGGCTGGTGTCATCTCAAATTGTGTATCCTCCATTTTCCTCTGTTCTAGATGACTTAAATAAACAGAAATCTTCCTTGAATTTTTTTTATCCTCTCTGATGAAAAAAAAAGAGAGAGAATGTGGTAGCCTGTGGTCTTTCTCACATTAAACAGTTAATGTTAAAAATCACCCATGTTTCTTTTCAAGGTCCTTCCCATTTCTGGAAAGAGCTTATCTGCAGACATTAATTCTGGCCCAACCCAGAGGTCACTCACAGAGGAAGGACCATGGTTTGTTCACCAGAGAAGAATTAATCGTGGCTCTACTGAGTCAGTGACTGGCTTCAAGTGCTAAAGCAGGACTCACCTCAGCTATCACTCTTACACAGATGTGCCCAACAGGGCCCTGCTAACCTCTTTTCAGAATCCTGAAGGCTCTACTCTGCACACAGGAAAAGCAGAGTACAGCCTGGCAATCCATGAGTCAACTCCCCTGTCACCCAGATGGACAAGACCTGACCAGGTTCTACTGCAGAACTCTGCTCAGTGGACTTGAAGGCTAGACTCCAGCCACCTCAATCCCTAAGGCAGGAAGGTATACCTCAGTGCTAAGCTATACAAAAGACTTGCATTTGTTACCTACTGCTGCTGTATAAGAAACTATACAAATTTAGCAGCTTAAAATAACACAAATTTATTATCTCATGGTTTGGGAGTCAGGAACTTTAGGATCTCTCAAGAGGCTGCAATCAAAGTGTCGCCAGAGCTAGAATCTTACACGAAGGCTCAAAGCTCACATAGTTGTTGGCAGGATTCAGTACCTATACTAAGGGCATCAGCCCTTTGCTGGCTGTCAGCCAGAGGCCACCTTCACTTCCTTGTGATGCGGGCCGTATCATAGGGCAGCTTACACTATGGCAGCTAGCTTCATCAAAACAGCAAGTGAGAATTGCTCAAGCAAGATAACTCCTTTTCAGCCTTCAGTCTTCATCTTCTTTTCCCCTACATACAATCATTAGAGTTCTACTGATTCTAACACAGTGTCTCTCAAATCTGTCCCCCTCCTCTCTACTCCAAGTGCTAAGAGTCAAACTCTCATCACTTCTCTACAGACTGTTTCGGTAGCTTTCTAATGGGTCTCTCTGGCCCAGTGGTACATTCACAAAGGTCTAAAAACTGATCTCCCTCTCTAGGTGGTAGGGAAAACCCTTATTTGTAAACTTTGCTGATTTCCACTATGTAATTGCCCCTAGCTTGGCCCATTTAAAGCTACCAGTGACTTCACTAACTGGGAAGAGATGCTCAGTAGCTCACCATTGTATTGTGTTTCTACCATACAGATACAGTGAATACAAGTAACCTCAGAAACATGAAAACAGTAACATATAGTGACATAATTAGGAAGTAATAAGCTTTAGCCTATTTATCTTTGATTTCAATGTAATTTAATTATAGCTTTATACAATTAAATATTTAATAATGGATATGCATATCAACCTATTCTGAAAACCTAACAATTGGCTGTCACAAGCTAACATGCACTCACTTCTGCACCCCACTGACGTGGTCCTAGTCTCTGCATTCAAGGTATTCTCCAAAGCACAGCTGACATTTCAACACACATCTGATCATGTCACTGTCCTTGCTCTTGTTAGTAGTTTCTTACAGTCCAAAATTCTTTACCTATGTATGCAAGAACCTTCATTTTCTGACCACACTTGATTCCAGTTGTATTTTAGGTCAAAATTAAACATGAATGATAACAATAATAGTAATAAAACCTAACAGTTATTGACCCTTACTCTATGCTAAAAACATATGCATTATATTATTTAATCTCTGCAACAATGATATGAACTGGCTTTTCTTACTGTTCCCACTTTATAGATGAGGAAAGTGAAGACTGTTTAAGTGACTTGTAAGAATTCACACAGAGAGTAATTAATGGAGCTGGTCCAATAAAAAAACCCAGATTATTAAATCTAAGAAAGTTTCATCAACAATTCAAAACTCCTTACATATACTATGTTCTTCCTACTGTCTTCCCATTGCATATGTGTTTTCCTCTTTCTAGAATGCCTCATTAGTACTGACCCCAGCACCACTGTCTCTCCACTGTTATCTACCTAAGAAGCTGCTACTCTAAGAACCTAATTCAATGGTGCTCTAAACTGGGAGGTAAGAGAAACTTGGAGACTCAAGAATGTACACCCAAACCTGAAAGCTGAGTAACAGTGGAATCCATGCTGATTTGGGGCAATAAGGCTTAATCAGCAAAAACAAAAA